ATCAGCACTGTTTTCTTTTATTGTTGTTAAAAATATTTATTTAAAATACACAATTGTTGTCCATATCTAGTTGCACATAAATATATTAACATGTCTGTATAATTTTGGACTTAAAGTAAACTTGCTACAGTGCTTTCTTAAAGCTAGCTTGCATTATACAAAGCAAATTCCTCTGTCAGTTCTTTCATAAAATAGTTCTATAAAAAATGCATCATCTTTCTTAAAAGATGTATATCCAGCACTGTTTTCAAAAAACAGAAATCAAGAGCTTCACTACAACCTTAATCACCACTTTCCAGTAGCACACTCACTGTAAGGAAGCACCAAAAAAAGGGCTGAGGATTAATTAGCACAGATTCTGCCACCTAAAATTTTCATCAGAAATAAAGCACTGAGATGTCACAGAAATCTCTAAAAGAAACCAGACTGGTTCCAGGGCTGGGGCAGGCATCATACAAGAAGAACATGGATCATCATGTTATGGCAAAAAGTACAAAAGTATTCAAAGAATGAAGGAGATATATCAAAAGGACAATAGCCAGATTCGAAAGAATTTGAGCACTGAAATCATGACAGCAATGGGTTAAAACACTGAATAAAAAATGGCAGAATGAAATAATACCATTTGAGTTCACGCCCTAATTACATGATCAAAGGTAACATCACCAGTCCAGGGACAGGCAGCATGAGCCTCCTGCTGTGATGTACCAAAGACAATGCTAACATACACAAAACTCAAACTAAAGAATCCTTTACAAAATAAATGACCCATATTCTTTAAAACTATCAATGTTAAGAAAGACAAAGGCAGACAACAAACTATTTTAGATTAAAGATATACAAGAACTAAATGCAATGTGTGAGTCTGCGTTGGATACTGGACCAGAAAAAAAAATTCAATTTTTTCTATAAAGGCATTGGTACAACTGGCAATTTTAATAAGATCTGGAGTAATATTGTACTAATATTTTAATTTCTACTTAGATAACTATATTGTGGTTAAATGTGACCTTGTTCTAAGGTTAACATGTAAAGTATTTCAGGGTAAAGAGATGTGATATTAGCAACTTTAAAAAAAAGATGCACTTGGGTCATTTTCTGATGTTTTTCCAGGAGCATTAGCAGGGAGCCAGATCAGAAGTGGAGCAGCTGGGACTTGAGTGGGTATCCATATGGGATGCCAGTGCCACACATGGCAGCGTAACCCACTCAGCCACAATGCCATCCCCTGTAAACTAAGGCTTTTGAGGCACACATGTTTTTATTGTATAAGACTAAAACAACAACACAAAGTCAGAGTTACACAGAGTGGAGAGGCAGAGAGGCAGAAAGAGAGAGAGAGAGAAGTCTTCCATCTGCTGGTTCAATCCCCAAATGGCCACAATGGCATGAGCTGTGCCAATCCGAAGCCAGGAGCCAGGAGCTTCTTCCGTCTCCCACAGGGGTGCAGGAGCCCAAGGTCTTGGGCCATCTTCTACTGCTTTCCAGGCTATAGCAGAGCTGGATTGGAAGTGGAGCAGCCGGGAGTAGAACCAGTGCCCATATGAGATGCCAGCACTGCAGGCAGCCGCTTTATCTGCTACGCCACAGCACCAGCCCCTGATCTTTTCTTAAAAAGGCTTTCTTTTAGGGGCCGGCGCCGTGGCTCAATAGGCTAATCCTCCGCCTTGCGGCGCCAGCACACCAGGTTCTAGTCCCGGTCAGGGCGCCGGATTCTGTCCCTGTTGCCCCTCTTCCAGGCCAGCTCTCTGCTATGGCCCGGGAGTGCAGTGGAGGGTGGCCCAAGTCCTTGGGCCCTGCACCCCATGGGAGACCAGGATAAGTACCTGGCTCCTGCCACTGGATCAGCGTGGTGGCCATTGGAGGGTGAACCAACGGCAAAAGGAAGACCTTTCTCTCTGTCTCTCTCTCTCTCACTGTCCACTCTGTCAAAAAAAAAAAAAAAAAAAGGCTTTCTTTTTTTTTTTTTCCTTCTAAGATTATTTATTTGAACTGATGAACTGGCACCCATATGGGATGCCGGTGCTTCAGGCCAGGGCATTAACCCACGGTGCCACAGCACCAGCCGCACAACACAAACTTTGTAGAGCCTGCTTATATTTTGATGACTCACTGCCTATACATTTATGATAAACAGCCACCAGATGGCACTTTATCTGCGATCTCCTAATCCCAGCAGCCTTGGCTTCCAAAGGCAGCATGCTTTTAGATTCAATTATTAAAGACTACCAGTTGAACAAAGGAAATCCAAACACAAACTGGTAACCTTTCATAAAGCACAAATAATAGACAATCACTATTTTCTTTCCTTTTTTTTTTTTTTTTTGAAGATTTTATTTATTTGAGAGGTAGAGTTACAGACAGTGAGAGGGAGAGACAGAGAGAAAGGTCTTCCTTCCCTTGGTTCACTCCCCAGATGGCCGCAACAGCTGGAGCTGCACCAATCCAAAGCCAGGAGCCAGGTGCTTTCTCCAGGTCTCCCATGTGGGTGCAGGGCCCAAGGACTTGGGCCATCTTCCACTGCTTTCCCAGGCCATAGCAGAGAACTGGAGAGAGGCAGCTGGGACCAGAACCAGTGCCCATATGGGATGCTGGCGCCACAGGTGGAGGATTAACCTACTGCGCCACAGCACCAGCCCCAACAGTCACTATTTTCAAAATGAACTTTTCACAATGGCCTACAAGACCTTAGATGACCTGATTTTTCACTGTCCTCCAAATGGCATCTCCACATTAACATCCTCAGGTCTGTGTTAAAGGGTCATCTTTCCAAACAACTTCTCAGGGTCATGTTGTAGCATAATGGGTTAAGCCACTGCCTGCGCCGACATCATCCCAGACAGGTGCTAGTTTGAATTCTAGCTGCTCTACTTCCGATTCAACTACCTTCTAATGTGCGTGGGAAAGCAGTGGAAGGTGGTCCAAGTCTTTAGGCCCCTGCATCCATGTGAGACTACCATGAGTCTCACCCACTTGAGTCTACCATATGAGACCATGTAAGCTACTGACTTCTGGCTCTGGCCTGGCCCAGCCCAGGTTGTAGTGGCCATTTGGGGAGTGAACCAGTGGATGGAAGATCTTTGCCTCTGTGTTAACTATGCCTTTCAAATAAATAAATAAATCTTTAAAACAAAACAATAAAAAACCTTCTCTGATCCTTCCTATGTAAAACAGCAGTCTATGCTCCATACCCCCTGGTGTTCCCCTTACCTTGTTCTTCAGGGCCTGGAATTTTATTTTCTTCCTCCCCACACTCCCAGAATATAAGTTTCATGAGGGCAGAATATTTTGCTGACTGTCCTATCATAAGCTCCTAAAGCAGAGATATGCACAAAGCATTTCTCTTCAAGCTTCCAACTAGTCCTCCCAATGGACTTTGTGAAACACTGAAGTGTTTTACACAGAAGCAGTCATCAGAGCAACCCTACAAAATGCGTGCCTTACAAAGATTTCCTTTGGCAAGAAGGTTTGGTAAAATGTAGGACTGAAAAGCAAAGATGCAGGAGACAATGCAGAGGTAGAGCTAACAGCCAAGGTCCCTGGAGTCGGAAGACTCGGGTTTGATCCTGGTTCCACAGCTTAAAAGTAGAGCTCCATGCTTTGGAGCTGGGAAAAGGGAATTGAGACGGCAAAGTTCCATCAAAGTTCTATCTCACGGCCTCTCCAGGAGATACCTATTCTGTAATGTCAGGCTAAGCAAAGGGCTAGGGGATAATGAGCTTATGCTGTTTAAATAGGGTTTTGACATTTGAGAAAGAAGGTGAAGGACCCTGGAGTTTAATCTACAATGATTTGAATGGTGGTTCCACAAATAAGACTGAAATTCAAGAGAAGGAACTGGTTTGAAAACCATGTGTTTTGGGTCTTAGGAATGCTTTAGCTGCAGCTTCAAAAGACAGACTTCTTAGAAGCTGACTCAAAGAAGCACCTTTGAAACTTTAGTTTACTTACATGTAAACTTAAGTTTTCTTTCTGCTTTGGGGGATGGGGAATCGTAGGATCTCCTAAAGCAGACAATTGTCTTCAGGGGCTCATGTGATGGGTTTAAATATGACCCTCCCCAAGATATCCTGGTATCCTAACCGCCAATCAAACAAAAATGAGGTTATTGGGAGAAGCCCTAACCCAGTATGAATGGTGGCCTTATCAAAAGGGGCAATTTGGAGACAGGAAAAGACATCAAAAGGACCTATGTCGAAAAGACAATGTGAAGGTGAAGACCCACAAGGAGAATATGGCCATCTACAATACAAGGAAAGAGGCCCTAAATATTTTCCCCTCACAGGGCTGGCGCTGTGGCACAGCAGGTTAACACCCTGGCCTGAAGTGCCACTAACCCATATGGCCGCCGGTTCGAGACCCGGCTGCTCCACTTCCAATCCAGCTCTCTGCTTGGCCTGGGAAAGCAACAGAAGATGGGCCAAGTCCTTGGGCCCCTGTACCCGCGTGGAAGACTGGGAAGAAGCTCCTGGCTCCTAGCTTCAGATCGGTGCAGCTCCGGCTGTTGCAGCCAATTGAGGAGTGAACCATCGGATGGAAGACCTCTCTCTCTCTTTCTCTCTCTGCCTCTTCTCTCTCTGTGTAACTCTGACTTTCAAATAAATAAATAATCTTCACAAAAAAAATTTTCCCTCAGTCTTCTAAAACCAAGATGCTGATTTCAGACTTCTAGCTTCCAAAACAGAGACAACCATTTTCTGTTGCTGAAGCCACCCACTATGTGGTGGTTTATTATGGCAGACTATGGAGAATCATATTTGCATAGCTAAGAAATCATGAGCCCCTTGAGGAGGGGCTGACTGTGTCCTAGTTGTCCTGGTCTTCATTTCACAGTATCGCATTTACTTATATTGATGCAAAGATTTAACAAGATGCTAATTTAAGTTCTAGCACCTACACACAATGGAACTCAATAAATGCTAACTTTCTCCCACTACCTTTTCCATATATACTTTCCCTGATGTTTCCTTTTGTAAAGTGACATAATCCCTTACATTATCTAATTTTATCTGAATTTAACTTGAAAACTGTAATGAATATGTATGAAGACATATTCAAGTAGTCCTTTTTTTTTTTTTTTAAGATTTTATTTATTTATTTAAGAGGTAGAGTTACAGACAGTGTGAGAGAGAAACAGAAAGAAAGGTCCTCCCTCCGTTGGGTCACCCCCCCAAATGGCCACCACAGCCGGAACTACGCCGATCCGAAGCCAGAAGCCAGGTGCCTCCTCCTGGTCTCCCACGCTGGTGCAGGAGCCCAAACACCTAGGCCATCCTCCATTGCCCTCCCGGGCCCCAGCAGAGAGCCGGACTGGAAGAGGAGCAGCCAGGACTAGAACCCGGTGCCCATATGGGATGCCGGCGTCTCAGGCGGAAGACTAGCCAAGTGAGCCACGGCGCCGGCCCCCAAGTAGTCCGTTTCTCAATTCAAATTCTAACTGGAGGGGCAAGCACTTGCTGCAGTGGTTAAGCAGCTGCTTGGAATGCCTGGTTCAAGCCTCAGCTACTCCACTTTCGATTCAGCTTCCTACTAATGCACATCCTGGGAGGGCAACAGATGATGGCTCAAGTATTTACACTGCTACTAACCACATAGGAGACCTGGATGGAGTTCTGGGCTCCACTTTGGCTTAGCCCAGTCATGGCTGTTGTAAACAGTTAGGGAGTAAACCAGCAGATGGAAGATCTCTGTCTCTCTGCTTTTCAAATAAAACTGGAAATATGGCCGGCGCCGTGGCTCAATAGGCTAATCCTCCACCTTGCGGCGCCGGCACACCGGGTTCTAGTCCCGGTCGGGGCACCGGATTCTGTCCCGGTTGCCCCTCTTCCAGGCCAGCTCTCTGCTATGGCCAGGGAGTGCAGTGGAGGATGGCCCAGGTGCTTGGGCCCTGCACCCCATGGGAGACCAGGAAAAGCACCTGGCTCCTGGCTCCTGCCATCGGATCAGCGCGGTGCGCCGGCTGCAGCGGCGGCCATTGGAGGGTGAACCAACGGCAAAGGAAGACCTTTCTCTCTCTGTCTCTCTCTCTCACTGTCCACTCTGCCTATCAAAAAACAAAAAAAAAAAAAAAAACAAAAAACAAAAAAAAAACCTGGAAATAAATATTAAGAAATACTAAACTGGAGCTAGGGTTTGCCAGTATCAAAATTAAAATTTGGAGGACTGGTGCTTCAGCCTGCCACCTGTGTTAGCATCCCATATGGGTGCCAGTCTGTGTCTCAGTTGCTCTGCTTCTAATCTAGCTCCCTGCTAATGCTCCTGGGAAAGCAGCAGAGTCCTTGGGCCCCTGTACCCATGTGGGAGACCAGGAAGAATCTCCTGGCTTCTGTCTGGTCCAGTCTTACCCATTGCAGCTACTTGGGGAGTGAACAAGCAGAAAGAAGATAACTGATCTCTCTCTCTCTGTAACTCTGCCTTTCAGATAAAAAAAATTTTTTTGAGTACTTAAGTTTATCAGGATTTATACACAAATAACTAAATATAATGGAGAGAGCATTGTGGCACAGTCACTTAAGCCACTGCTTGGTATGACAGCACCACTTATCAAAGTGCTGGTTTGTGTCCTGGATGGCAGCCCAAGTATTTGGGTTCCTACAACCCATGTAGGAGACCCAGATGGAGTTCCAAGCTCCTGGTTTTCAACCCAGCCCAGCCCTATTTCAGGCCATTTGGGGAGTAAAGCAGCATATGGAAGATCTCTGTCTCTCCCTGTTAATCTTTCAAATACATAAATCTTAAATAAATCAATTAATATAATCCATTTCTAATCTTCAAGTGACTATACTCCAAATTAGATCTCACACACAAAGATGTAGGTACTTCAAAAAGTTCATGGAGGCCGGCGCCACGGCTCACTAGGCTAATCCTCCGCCTTGCGGAGCCGGCACACCGAGTTCTAGTCCCGGTCGGGGCGCCGGATTCTGTCCCGGTTGCCCCTCTTCCAGGCCAGCTCTCTGCTGTGGCCAGGGAGTGCAGTGGAGGGTGGCCCAAGTCCTTGGGCCCTGCACCCCATGGGAGACCAGAAGTACCTGGCTCCTGCCATCGGATCAGCGTGGTGCGCCGGCCACAGCGCGCCAGCCGCGGCAGCCATTGGAGGGTGAACCAGCGGCAAAGGAAGACCTTTCTCTCTCTCTCTCTCTCTCACTGTCCACTCTACCTGTCCAAAAAAAAAAAAAAAAAAAAAAAATCATGGAAAATAAAAACAATGAAAAGATTACACATGGATTTCAATTTTTTTGTACCCAAATTGTGCTTGTTGCTATCACTTGGGACCAAGAGCTTAAGACAACAGACCTACTTTATGCTCCATCTTCAACCCAGATTAAAAACTGAAGGCAACAAGCCAAATCCTGTCTCTTAACTTAGTTCATAATACTTAAAACTGTGAACACTAAACAATCAGTATGATTATATAAAGATTTTACAGGAGGATTTTACATAAAATTCCAGCTTTTCTGAAAAAAATCTGAAGATGTATACTTACATTTTCCTAAGATAACCAGCAGGAGCTGATAAGTCTTTTCTTTTTAGATATAAAGGAGGAAGCCTACTCCATACATTATTCTAATAACCATCTTCTCTTTTGTCTTACTCATAGCATGCTTCACAAACCCTATTCTAAGAAGAAACCAACAAGCACAAATTACATATTCATTTCAAGCTTTGAACATAGATAACCCAAGTAATTCTGCAAGATTTGAAATTTGTAAAAAGCCAAATATGATGTAAAACGAAAGCAAACAAAAATGTATAACCAGGTGGTACTATAATTACACAGACAGGAACTGGTCCCCTCAACTATAGAACTCAGTAATAGATTCTACATCCCTAGTGAAACATACCCTAAGAAAAACAATTGTTAACTTTCTTTAGTCATCATATTGTTGACAGTAGGTCTGGCATTGTCATTCTGAGTCTGTTGTATATATCTATGTGGAAAAGAAAAGAAGTAACCACAGAGAAGCTGCGGAGAACTGGGGTTTTCAAGTGTGCGACAAGGGAAGCGAAATATAATCAAAGTTAAAAGTCTCTGGGTCCTATATTTTGACTTTTAAGTACAACTTGAAATTTTCTTTTTAAAGACTTTGGGGCCGGCGCTGTGGCATAGTGGGTAAAGCCACTGCCTGCAGTGCTGGCATCCCATATGGGCGCCGGTTCGAGTCCCGGCTGCTCCTCTTCCGATCCAACTCTCTGCTGTGGCCTGGGAAAGCAGTAGAAGATGGTCCAAGTCCTCAGCCCCTGCACCCACATGGGAGACCTGGAGGATGCTCCTGGCTTCAGATTGGCACAGCTCTGGCTGTTGCAGCCAACTGGGGAATGATCTAGCGGATGGAAGATCTCCCTCTCTTCTCTCTCCCCCTCTCTCTCTCCTGTGAAACTCTGACTTTCAAATAAATAATAAATAAATCTTTAAAAAAAAAAAAAAGAAAAAACACTTATTTCCTATCCATAGTTCCAGAAAAGGCCCAAGACACAATGACTAACTCAGAACCAGGTTGTGATCTCCGAAACCATTTCACACAAAAAGACTTTTTGAAGAAACAGCTAGTTCCTGGTCTGGTACTGAGAATGTAACAGATGAGACTGGACTTTCTGTCATATCAAACAGTAAAAGAGCTATCAAAGACGTCTCACGAGTCACCCTGAAGAGAATGTAATTGGCCAAAAAAGGAGCAATCTATAAAAGTAACAACTACACATGCTATTAACATGCATGAATATTAAAAATATTATGCCAAGTAAAAGAACCCAGTCAAAAGGACCTCACAGTGCGTGATTCCATTTATATGAACTGTCCAGGATAGGCAACTCCACAGGGACAGATCAGTGGCTGCCTGGAATTGGAGGGGCCAGGAGGAGGCCACGGAGAATGATTGCTAGTGGGTACATGGTTTCTTTGTGGAATAATGAAAACATTCTCAACCTATATTGTAGTGATGATGGTTACAAAACTGAACATACTAAAACCCATTAAAGACTTGATATAGGTGAGTTTTACGGTATATAAATTGTACTTTCATAAACTATGGGGGGGCCCAATTTCAATAGATTAAGCCACAAATGTTAAAATCTGTCTGTTAAAATCTGTGTCTAGGACCCAGAACTTGAATAGAGGTCATGTCCACAGTGCATCTGCCTGGTTTGGCTGCCGGTCAGTATTGGCCCCTGAGAACTGGACAGGGATCGTTTACACAGCGCAGGGCTCCCCAGGGCTCCTGTGGCCTCCTTCCCTCCGCGACTCCAGCTTGCTTTATTTGTGATCTTAGCCATGTTCCAGTTGTGTCCTCCTTGCCAAGGTTGGGCTGGGGGCGGAACTGGCATCCCCAGGACTGCCCCCCACCCCAGCAGATGCCCTCAACCATATCTCATACTGGTTGCCGAAGCCTGGGGTGTCTGCCCAAGTCCTTATTCACGCATGGTCCCTCTTCATCCCTGTCTCTGTGTCTTGCTTCCCAACCCTCAGTTCCTAAACCATTTCAAGGCTTCCAAATGATTATTATTGGTAAAAAGGATTGTGCAGCTTTTAGTTTTTATTTTCAAAGCCAAAGGGCCTTGTGATACCCCTCTTGTCCACCCCCCCACTCACGCCCTGTCCCCTCCTCTACAACAATCAATGTAACCTTTCTTAAAGGCTGCAGCTCCAACCCCCACCCTGCTGGTTCTACAAAGCCTGCCCCCCCAACTTCAATTCTCTCTCCCTCAGATCTTCCCATTCCACACTCCCATCTTGGTGCTGAAAACTAGGTGGGGGCAAGGGGGCAAAAGAGGAGTGGGAGACGGGTCCTCCTCTAGTGAAGACTCTCGGGTGTCAGTCGTGTTCTTTGTCACTGCTTGGCAGTGACAGAAAACATCGGAGTGCTTGTCGGGAACCCCCTTGTTTGCTAGGTGAGACTTCGGGGAGCTCTCTGCTCCCTGCCACCTCCTTGGCACTCTGTCGGCAGTGCTGGGCGAGGCTGTGGAGAATCCCCGGGCCCTCCTCACATAACTGCGAGGAGGCTTGTGGGGCGAGTGGTCTCCTCTCCATATGCCAAAGTAAATCCCACCACCCCTCACCCATGGGCTCCTTGGCCCCTAGTGTTTTTTGAAGCATTCTGACCATTCTCAAGGCTACTGTATATATATTTTAATGTTACAATTTTTTAAAAATCTGACATAAACGGGTGTGGAGAAGTAAAAGAGGCAGAATGCCCCCCAATCTGCAGGGGTAGGGCGGGGAGGGAGCCTATCCTTCCCTTCAGCCTCCCTCTGCCCCCTCCCCCTGCAGCTCTAAAGCACTTGCTTCAAGGAATAAGCACTTTGGTGGAAAGGCCTATTTCAAGTAAGGAGCCTGGGAGCAGCCCCAGGTCCCTGCAAAGCAGACAGTGAGGGCTACAGAGGAGACGGGGAAACAGAGGTGTGAATCAGGGGGTGAGATGAAAAGAGCCAGTTTTTGGTTTCTGACTTTTGGGGGATGTCTCTGCATGGGCAGTGGCTTTGCTAGGGTTGTGTTCTATCCTTCAGAAAAAAAAAAAAAAAAAAGGCATAAACTGTGGGTCCTGGGATGGACCAACAGACCCAGGTCACTGTCACTGTCCAGCTGAGACTGATGGGCCACCTGCCCTGCCCGTGGCCCACTGAGGCATAGGACTGCTGAAAACCACTGAATGTATAGCAGGGACGGGGAGAGGGGTGTGCAGGGAGGGCGCTTCTCCTCTGGTGCTGTGAGGGGTGGGAGAGTTGATACAGAGGGACCGAGGAGGGTCTTCCTTCCTCTCCAGCATCAGCCATACCCTTCTTACTTCTTCACCCCTGTCCATCTTGACTGTAAGTCCAGCTCACTTTTGCCTTCAACATGTAAACAAAGGAAAAATTCCATGGCTGTCGGCCCCCAACAAGCACCTTCCTGCTCCCTGGACTGGAAGAGAAGAGGCTGGGGGTAGGGTGGGTGAGGCCAGAGTGAACATTTCTATAGCTATAACCCCCAAACCTCAGGTCTTCCTTTTCTGTTGGTTCACCCCCCAATGGCCGCTGTGGCCAGCGCACCGCGCTGATCCGAAGCCAGGAGCTTCTCTTGGTCTCCCATATGGGTGCAAGGCCCAAGCACTTGGGCCATCCTCCACTGTACTCCCGGGCCACAGCAGAGAGCTGGACAGGAAGAGGAGCAACCAGGATAGAATCCGGCGCTCTGACCGGGACTAGAACCTGGTGTGCCAGCGCCGCAAGCGGAGGATTAGCCTAGTGAGCCGTGGCACTGGCCGCACTCTGTTTCTTACGCACTGAGTTTTTTTGTCCAAATGGCTCCAGCAACTGCACTCTAGTGGGGGGGACTCTTCCTCCTTCCCCTCAGCCACTTCTCACCCCCTCCCCACACATAGTATTCATCCCCACCTCCCCTACCAATGGCAAAAGGAAACCCTACGCCTGGGGCCAGCCAGTATGCCCATATCTCACCTAGTCTGAAACCCTACCTTTTAAGGAGGGACAGAAACAAAGCAGCCCCTTCCCCTCTAATTGTGGTGGCTCAGGCCCTCCGTGGCCTTGACCTGAGTTGGGCAGGAGCAGAGGTAAGGAATCTTTGAGGACCAAGCCTAGTGGCCTGGGAAGAGGGAGGTGGAGAGGAAAGGCTCTGATGTGGGGACTCCCTCTTCCCGATCCAACCCCTAGAGAAGCGACCAAATGCAAAGACTGGAGGAAGCCGGGGTGGGAAGACCTGCTTTTTGAATTACCTGAAGGTACTGACTCTGAGGCAGCTGTTGCCCACTTAGGTGTGAGGGGGACACTATCACTGCATTTGGGAGGGCAGAGGGTGGCAGTGACAAAGGATCTGCTCTGGCTGTCAATCACCCCTGCTAGGCCCTTTCCCTGGGGAACCCAGAAGCTTGACTTTGCCCCCAGGAAGCTAGGGAGAGCCTTCCCTCCCATCCCCATCCCTCACTCTGGGAACCCTCTCCAACTGTACTAAAGTAGCTATTGCGCCAGTCTTACCCCATGCTGGGGGGGAGGGGTCCCCTCTGCTTCCAGTCTCCCCTTGTCCCATCTCCACACCCATCCCAGGCAATCTCCTTGTATTCTTGGATAACTCAGCTTTGTATGTGTGTTTTAAGGGGTGAGGAGGGTTCTGGCTGGAGTGGGTTTGGCAGGGGTTCGGGAAGTGTTAGAGGAAAGACAGAGGATGAAGTCTCCTGCCCCCTTCCCCAGCTCCAAGCTCCAGAAGCCTGGTGGGGAGGTGCCTACTCTCACTGCCCTATGTCTTGCAGATGTGGGGGGATGGGAAGGGGAGTGCTTGGCAGAGCAGCCCCCAGGGTGGCTCTCTCAAAGCAATAGTTTCCCTGCATGGAGGATGGCAAGAAAGGGGGGCGGGGGGACTGGGGAGGGAGGGGGCCATGTACAGCTGTGAACATTCAGGGGCATTCTCTGTCTGGCACCCGCTGTGGCATCTATGTGTGTGTGAACCTCTGCTTCCCCACACCCTGCATGACCTGTGATGCTGCAGACACCACCGTCCTGTGTGCACGTGTGTGCTGGAGGCACAGAGGGGCACGCTCATGTCCTACTGCACCCTCCACCTGTGACCCATGTACTCGGTTGTAGGAAGTGAAGAGAACTGAGCACAAGTCACTGGGTTCTGGTTGAATCTTTCTAAGCAATGTTGTTCCACTCCTGCCCTTATCCCTGCCCTGGATCCACCTGTGGTGCTAGTGCTGGGGTCAGGGTGTTGAATGCTGGTGGGCAGCAATAAAGGGCAGATCTGCCCAGATGCTTGCAGCCCCAGGGTGCTGAGAACAGCAGGAACAAGTGGGGACCTTGGTGCATTTGCCCTTCCCCTCCCCCTCCTCCGTGGGCTAAAGCACAATGCTCTCCAGCAGCCTGATGTACCCTGCACCCTCCAGGCCCCTACTCATGTCCTCCCCTAACTTGCTTAGAACCCTCCCACCACAACCTGGTGATTTTGGTGCAAGCACAACTGTTGTAGTATTACAATCAATACATTAAGGAATAATGGTATGCTGTCATTTTGAAATCTTAAAAAAAAAAAAGATGGACTGCAATGCTCAACAGCCACTAACATTCAACAAAAAGAGAAGACCAGACAGCAGAAGCCTCCTGATGGAAGAACATACCACCACCTATGAAGTAGTGTAGCAAAAACAAATTTTCATAGAAAAGAACCACAAAGAACCACACTAAAAGACTAGAGAGACTTTTCAAACAATGGCAATATAAGGACGTTATAGATCCTAACTGAAACAAAATTAGCAGGGAAATTGGAAGACTGGATATTTGATACTAAGAATTTTTAAAAAATTAACGTGTGATTATAGTACATCGTGGTTTTGAAAATTAATACTGCATGTCTTATGATGCCTGGGATTTGCTTCAAAAAAGGGTGAAGAGAAATGGAAGATCAAAAAACATTGGCCATAGTTGAACTGTTGAAGCTGAAAGATGAAAACAGTTTATTTTGCTGTTTTCTCTATTTTCTGTATACTTGATTTTTCCATAACAATCTTACTAAAAGACAATAATGCTGTCAATTCCACACATCACTGGAATTCCTGTACCTCACTGATTCATATATGAATATCTCTGGCAATTTTACATCTCTGAAATTTAGACACATCTTAGTCAATGGTATCCCAGTTTAACTGACAGTATTTTTTTCTGGGTCTCCACACAGGTGCAGGGGCCCAAAGATTCGGGCCATCTTCTACTGCTTTCCCAGGCCATAGCAGAGAGCTGGATTCGAAGAGTCTCGAACTGGTGCCCATATGGGATGCTGGCACTGCAGGCAGCAGCTTTACCCGCTATGCCACAGTGCCGGCCCCTGCTCCTCTTCTGATCCAGCTCTCTGCTGTGACCTGCGAAAGTAGTGGAAGATTGACCAAATCCTTGGGCCCCTGCACCCGCACAGGAGACCTGGAAGAAGTTCCTGGCTCCAGATCGGCCCAGCTCCAGCCATTGAGGCCATTTGGGGAGTGAACCAGTGAATGGAAGTCCCCCCCGCCCCCGCCTCTTTGTAACTCCACCTTTCAAATAAAAATATTCTTTAAAAACCTGATAGATTCTTAATTTCAATCAGAAATTATAAGATTATAAGCATAGCTAGATACTTGTTAACCATTTTTTTGCACAGTGAGAGTTCTTTTTTTATTAAATATTTATTTATTTTTATTTATTTGAAAGGCAGAGTTGGGCTGGTGCTGTGGCACAGTGAGTAAAACCGCTGCCTGCAGTGCTGGAATCTTATAGGGCTCCCAGTTCGAGTCCCAGCTGCTCCCTTTTGATCCAGCTCTCTGCTATGGCCTGGGAAAGCAGTAGAAGATGGCCCAAGTGCTCAGGCCCCTGCACCCGTGTGGGAAACCCAGAAGTAGCTCCTAGCTCCTGGCTTTGGATCAACTCAGCTCTGGCCATTGAGGTCATTTGGGAAATGAACCAGCAGACAGAAGACCCCTCTCTCTCTCTCTCTCTCTCTCTCTCTGCCTTTCAAATAATAAATAAATGAAGGAAGAGAGGGAGGGAGGGAGGGAGGCAGAGTAACAGAGATCTTCCATCCGCTCGTTCATTCCCCAAATGACCACAACTGCCGGGGCTGAGGCAGGAGCACGGAGCTCCTTCCAGATCTCCCACATGGGTACAGGAGCCCAAAAGTTGGGCTGTCCTCCACTGCTTTCCTAGGCACATTAGCAGAGAGGTGGTTTGGAAGTGGATCAGCTGTGTGTCAAACCAGCGCCCATATGGGATGATGCCGTCAAAGGTAGAGGCCTTACCTGCTGGGTCCAAAAAAAAAAAAAAAAAAAAAAAAAAAAAAAAAACAACAACACCTCTCCCAGACACTAGTGTTATGGCACAGTGGGTAAACCTGCCACTGCTGGGGTTATAATTCCAGATCACAGTCTGGGTCTGAGTTAGTCCCAAGCACTCGGATATGGGATTGGGACATCCCAAGAAGTGTTTAAACTGCTGTGCCAAACACTACCTTGATAAAAGAAATCTGAAAGGTCAACAACAAACTGAGAAATACAAATGTTAATTCCCCACAGGGACATGTTCTTAATAAAGAGCTCTTAAGCTTTTTTTTAAAAAAAGGATTATTGTCCAATATAAAAAAATGGGTCAGTGGCCGGCACTGTGGCACAGTAGGTTAAGCCTCCACCTGTAGTGCTGGCATCCCACATGGCGCCAGGTTCTGTCCCGGTTGTTCCTCTTCCAGTCCAGCTCTCTGCTGTGGCCCGGGAAGACAGTGGAGGATGGCCCAAGTGCTTGGGCCCTGCACCCCATGGGAGACCAGGAGGAAGCGCCTGGCTCCTGGCTTTGGATAGGCACACGCCAACCATAACAGCCATTTGGGGGATGAACCAACGGAGGGAAGACCTTTCTCTCTGTCTCTCTCTCACTGTCTAACTCTACCTGTCAAAAAAAAAAAAATTAAGTTTAAAAACAAGAGGCCTTATATTACGAGACTTGGAAAGATTTGTCAATATTAGGGAGTTCTGGTCTCTCTATGTAGAGAATGAGGAACACTCCCACTCCCACTGCTCTGCCTGGAACAGTCCTCCTCCAAGTCTTTGTTCAACTGTCACCTTCTCAGTGTGGTCTCCATTAACCCCATTTAAAACTGCAACCCTATCCCCACTTCTCAACTGCTCTCATTGTCTTCTATGTCCCCACTCTATCTACTAATAAATTATGTAACTTACTTACCCTACTAAGGCTGTTCTTTAGTCTGTCTCCCCTCCCACTAAAATAAACTCCCAAGGGGGCAGACCCCCTCCCCCTCCCTTCATTGCAGTATCCAGGGACAGAAAATAGTGCTTGGGACATGGTAAGTGTTCAAAAAATATTTGTTTAATGAATAAGGGTTAAATTAGTTAAATCTTTCTAGAGTAAACTAACAATATGAATTAAAATCCTTAAAATGAAAATACCAGGAGCATAATGTCTCAGAACTTACCCTAAAAGAAATAATCACTGATGTGAGCAATGACCCCTTCAAGATCATCCACCTCAGCTGTGAAGTGCAATGCTGTGGAAACTATTCACGATACCCCTCACTGGGCAAAGTACACCCAGCGATCCCTTTCTTTGTCTTAAACACTATACATATATGGTTACTAATAAGAAATAACATAAGTCATTATGGATTCACTTAAGGTAAAACTAGATGAGGGTACTCCCTGTATCTGTGTATTTCTAAGACTTAGTGAAAAGGATAGTTTTTTAAAAAAATATGTAAGGCTGCACTGTAACAACTACTACAGAACCAATTTTCAAGGCACACAAGTGAAAAAAGCAAACGGTATCATTTAATTTTTAAAAATTATTTCAAGTTTAGTGGCCCTATTTCCAGCAAGAGAGATATGTTGGGAATTTTAAAGAAAGCTTCCTTCTAAAGTTTCAAAATAACAATTTTCATTTTTTGGAAATTAAGAAAACCACCAACTGCCCTGACTCCACAAATTAGGGAATGCTAGAATGGACAAAAAATTTCACCAGCTCAATTAAACAATTTGACTACCTAATTTACCCTAAACCCATAAAATTGCTTAACTGCAAACAAAGTGAAAATTCTTGTCCAAACTAACTCCTTAACCTAAGAAAATTATAACACATGAAATCCATTCTGGAATTACACTGCATAGAAACAATTTCAAAAGCAGTCTAAATTGCTAAGTTAAAAAAGAAAAAAAAAAAAAAACGATGAATAAAGGCACAGGCTATTGGTATACATACTGAAAACTGAAGGCCTAGAGGGAGGTAGAACAGGTGCTCCTTCTGAAAGTAAGACAATGGGTGAAAGACTATCCAAACACCCAGGCGTTCCAATGCCCCTTATTCAGAAGCCTCTACCTTACTTGTCCTCAGATACACCAACAGGCACTGTCACCTGGAGACACCACAGCCAATAACCAAGGCTTTAGGTTTTGTCAGACTTGTCTTGGAGTCCTAGTTAAAATGCTAGTAAATAAAAGCATATGTCTGAAAAGGTGAAATGGAAAATGATTTTCAGGCAATTGAAATTACCCAAAGTCAAATCTTTTTATTTTTAAAAGATTTATTTATTTGAAAGTCAGAATTACACAGAGAGAGAAGGAGAGGTGGGGAGGTGAGGGGGGGAAGGGAGAGAAAGAGAGGGAGGGAGAGAGAGAGAAGTCTTCCATCTGCTGGTTCACTCTCCAATTGACTGCAATGGCCAGAGCTGGGCTGATCTGAAGCCAGAAGCCAGGAGTTTCTTCCGGGTCTCCCACGCGGGTGCAGGGGCCCAAGGACTTGGGCCATCTTCCTCTACTTTCCCAGGCCTTAGCTGAGAACTGGATCAGAAGTGGAGCAGCTGGGACTCAAACCACTGCAGGCAGCAGCTTTACCCGCTACACTACAGTGCCAGGTCCCCAAAGTCAAATCTTTTAGGACATGGGGCCGTGGTTGTGGAGCCCTGCACATGGGCTCTGGTTCGGGTCCCGGCTGCTCCACTTCCAATCCAGCTCCCTGCCAATAGTCTAGGAAAAACAGCAGTGGATGGCCTGAGTACTTAGGTCCCTGACACCCAAGTGGGAGACCTGGATGAAGCTCCTAGCTCCTGGCTTCGCCCTGGCACAGCCCCAGCTGTTGTGGCCACTTGGGGGAGTGAATTGGTAGATAAAAGGCCTCTGTCTCCCCTTCTCTTTCAAATAAGTAAAAAATCATTAAACACACACACCCACCCACAAACTTTCAGGACAGAGAAAGAACCCAAAGGAAACATACCCTAAAGAGCACAGCACTGGAAAGCAGGAGCCCTGGATTCCAGCTGGGCTCTGCTGCAACCAGCTCCAGGACCCTGGACACATTATTTCATATATGTGGGTTCTAGTTCTAAGACCTACAGAATGAGGGGACTGAAAGTCCTTTCCACCTATGCCACACCATGACTAAATTACAAGGAATGCTACTTCGTGTTACATACTTCCAAAATTTCCTAAAATTTTTCATTTAAATTCTTGTGTTTTGGACCATTAGGTATAACAATATATACTGCTGTTTCCTTAATCAATTTGTCCAGCTGTCAGAGTACTAAAAAGTAGCAAAATCAGAATTCAAAACCAGACAGTCTCACTCCCAAAGACCACACTACTGCATGCTTCCTCCGCAGGCCTTCTTCCTGACTATTCTCCCTGTAAGCAGCAGCTTGCCTTCTCAAAATAACTGGATGCCAGCAGGAAGGCAGGCAGGAGCTAGGGAAGGGTCAAGTTACCTGAACCAGGTGGGGCTTGAACTTCTGACTCAGTACTCTAACCAACTTAATTAATTAGATATTTCAGCTAAAGAGGCTGGAGAAACAAGAAAAGAAAAAGATATGGAAAATTACAAAGAAACATGAGTTAACTGAAGGCAGAAACAAACACAAGCCCCTCCGCAATCACAGTAAACGGGGCAGTTTATTCATACACATCTTCAGGAGCCGAGAGTTGTGCAAGATGAATACCCAGTAAAGTGACTGGCAGATTCTCTGTAATCTGTCCTTGGGATTTTTCAATGACTTAATTAAGAACACAAATAACTCTGGGTTACCTGGAGTAGTGAATGGAAGAGTAACAGATAACGCAAAGTGCATCTGACTTTAGAAAATTAACGAATACCTAAAGTATATGATCATCTCTATACAGTTATCCACCAAATTACAGCTTGATTCAGGCTAATGAAATTTTCAAGAGACCAGGGCCTGTGGTGTAAGAGATCAGCACTTCTAAAAAATGCATTGAATAACAGAATCACTATCTCTTTTCATGAGTAGAATATGCAACGTAACACATTCTTATCAGTTCTGCAAGAAATAACTAAGAAACAAAAAAAGTACATTTAAATTCCAACTGCGTACTACAACTAGGTTAGCTTCTTGCTTTTTCCATTAATCCAACCAATCAATGGATAATCAAGCGATAAACAAACACACACACACACACACACACACACACACACAAGCTCACACATGCCTTGGTAACCAAGCACTTACAAAATAAAAAATTTCATAAGACAGAGAATAGAAAATGGAGCAAGAGGTGAGGTCACCTACCACTTTAGTTCTATTGAAACAAAAGTTTTTATGTGCTCTCCCCAAACATCAGGTAGCCTCCAAAAACAACACACACACCCCGTGCTGTCTGGCACTGTCACGAGTGGGGTGACCTAGGGAAGACCTTTGAAATGTGGTGTATCAGCCCTGAGAGAATTAGACTTTACAACAAAAGAGCAAATAAATAGAAAAGGGTGTCGAGGACAATGTATCTAAAAATAGCAACTAAGACAGGTAATTTATTAAAAAATACAAATTGCCCTAAGAGTTGCTTTCCAAGACCCTGTACAATTAAGCCTTAGGACAAGATGTTAGGTTCTTAAGGCTAAGCCTCACTTGCTAAAAATCCCTCTGCGCTGGCGGAGCCGCCACTAGGCTGTGACCAACTTTTGTGTCTGCCACAATAGCGCTAAACCGCTGCTATGCATCCCGCTGACAAAACTGGACATGTGGCGCTTAATATCCCAACCCAGAAGCGCCGACGCTGGCTGAAGCAGCAGCCGATAACCCAGAGGGGACACGGCGATCACCGCGGCGGTGCCCCTTCCAGGAGGTTTAGAGAAACAGACACAGACAGACACACACACACCGGACGTGTGCACCGCGCTCCGTCCGCCCGCCCGCCCGCCCGCACGCCGCAGGGGAGGCATGCGCCTTGCAGGCTCAGGAAGTTGACTAACTCCGGGGAAAGCTCCGTGCCCGCCTCTGGAAGAGGCAGCATGTGGCTGGCAGAAGCAAAAGTAAACACGCCAAAAGCCACTCGGGAATCTCCTGCAGGCCTACCGGAAGCAGGTAAGGACGCGCAGAGCAGGGTTCACAGACAGACAGTCATCTACCGGCTCCACGGGCTCCCAGACGACGGGAGCTCGCGCCCGCTCCGAGGAGTCGGGTCCTCTTCCAACAGCCCTTTCCGGCAGGCCTGGGGCTGCTAAGATCCAGGCCCCGGCCTGCGGCTGCAGACGCACCCTTGCACATGGTTCCAGGAGAGCGACCCCCCAGGCCGCCCCGAGGGCCACGCGTCTGCGACCGCAGGGGGTTCGAACCCGGCGCACGGTCAGGACACGGACCCGGAGGAAATCCAGAGAGTGGGATGTCGGGGTACAAGACTCACTTCCTTTGGGCTTTGTCCTTCTTGGCCTTGGTCCTTTTCTTTCGGGCCTGGAGCGCAAGCACTGCAGGAGAGAGGGATGGATGAAGGGCGAATGTGGAGGACAGGAGGCGGCCAAGGTGAGGGTGGAGACCCAGCAGGGGCGCCAGGCCTGGCGGCGGGGCCTGCCGGAGGGGCGGCCGCGGGGCGGGCGCCGCAGCTTTGGCTAAGCGGCCGGCCGGGGAGCCGGCGGCCCACGGAGGGCAGAGCAGCGCCAAGGCGGGATGCGCCGGAGGGGGCTCGGGCCGGGTCGGGGGTCTGCTTCGCCCGCCCTGGGCCGAGCCCTGGAGCGGCCCCAGGGCGCGAGCCGGCCTGGCAGAGAACAAGGGGCAGTGACGGCCGGCGCCGGAGGACGCCGCGGCTGAGGGGCGCGGACCCGCAGCCCAGAGGCGGGGGGTGAGGGGCGGCGCCACCTCAGTGGAGGGGCGCCGCACGCCGGGGACCGGACGGCGGCAGTTAGGCGAAACCCCCGGCGCTGACCCGGGCCTCGCCCCGGCAGCCGTTGCCCCTCGTGGCGGAGGCCGCTCCACCGCTCACCTTTCCGCTCCATGGCGAGACCGGTAACCGCCAGGCGCCTGCGCACTTGAGTGGCGGCGACTCCGGCTCCCGCCGCGGCCCAAAACGGAGCCCGCGCACGCCCCGCCCTAGGCCCCGCCCCGTCTCCCTGCCCAAAAGGGCGCGCGCCTGCGCGTTGGGCGCGGAGCCTACCACCTCCGCCGGGGAGGGGGGCGGTGCGGAGCGCAGGGTCCGGGCGAGGAAGGAACGCCGGGAGGGGACGCCAGGGGGCTGTCGGGGCCGCGAGCGCGGCGGGAAGCCCTCTGTGGTGTTTGCCAGACGGCAGCCGCTTAGCCCAAGTAGAGCGGGCCTTGAGGGCTCCCTGCGTGCTGAGTCAGAGCTCCGCAGTCAGCTGGGATCTGCCTCACTTTCCTGGTCTTTAAAATGGGCTAGTGAGGCATGTCCCAGTTCTTTCCCTCAGCTATTTTGAGGACTAGTTGAGATACTATTTAAGGAAAACAGGAGGGGAAAATTACATGTGAGAGAGAAAAAGAAGGCAGGAACCCGGCACCCTGTGGTCACTAAAAGCAGGAACTGCAGCCAAGGATTTTTTTTTAAGCTCTTATTTGAGAGGTAGATCTGGCAGAGCCCACAACCAGCTCAGAGCCAGGGACTCAATCCAGGTGTCCCTTGTGGGTGGCAGTTAGATTGATCTCTCACTCTGCCTTTCAAATTAATAAATAAAACTTAAAAAAAAAAAAAAAAAAAACAGCCACATAAGCCTCATCTGCTGCTTCTCCTCTCAGGATCGGCGTTAGCAGGAAGTTGGAGTCAGGACCACCACCTAGCATCTAACCCCGCTGCTCCCTGTGGGACGCAGACATTTTAACTGCTGGGCCAATGCCTGCCCTAAAAATAAGAGCTTTAAAAGTCAATTTTCTCTTAAATTTTCAAGTTTAAATGAAAACTATAAAGGAAGGAAGAAGTGAAAGGGAGAAATATGTTCAATGTTTCCTCATTGTATATCATTTTATCTTTTCAGTACATGAAAATGTTGACTTACAGAATGTTTAATACTTTAAAAATCTTTTATTTATTTGAAAGGCAGTGTTTGAGAACAAGAGAGATCCTCCATTTGCTGGTTCACTCCCCAAATGGCTGCAACCGCTGGGGCTGGGCCAGGCTGAAGCCAGGAGCCAGGAGTGGCAGGAACCCAAGCCCCTGGGCCATTGTCCCCTGCTTTCCCAGGCCCATTAGCAGGGAGCTGGATCAGAAGTGGAGCAGCCAGCGCTCCAACCACCGCTCAAATGGGATGCAGGCACTGCAGGCAGTAGCTTAACCTGCTGCGCCATAAGGCCAGCCCCTGTTTTGTACTTTTCTTTATTTTTATTTTTTTGACAGGCAGAGCAGAGTGGGACAGTGAGAGAGAGAGGGAGTCAGAGAGAAAGGTCTTTTTGCCGTTGGTTCCCCCTCCAATGGCCGGCGGCGCACCGCACTGATTCGAAGGTAGTCCAGGTGCTTCTCCTGGTCTCCCATGGGGTGCAGGGCCCAGGCACTTGGGCCATCCTCCACTGCACTCCCTGGCCACAGCAGAGAGCTGGCCTGGAAGAGGGGCAACCGGGACAGAATCTGGCGCCCCGACCGGGACTAGAACCTGGTGTGTGTGCCGGCGCCGCAAGGAGGAGGATTAGCCTGTTGAGCTGCGGTGCCGGCCTGTTTTGTACTTTTCTAAGTGCATTATTTTTTATTTATTTATTTATTATTTTTTTTGACAGAGTGGACAGTGAGAGAGAGAGAGAGAGAGAGAAAGGTCTTACTTTACCGTTGGTTCACCCTCCAATGGCCGCCGCGGCTGGTGTGCTGCGGCCAGTGCACCACGCTGATCCGAAGCCAGGAACCAGGTGCTTCTCCTGGTCTCCCATGCGGGTGCAGGGCCCAAGGACTTGGGCCATCCTCCACTGCATTCCCGGGCCACAGCAGAGAGCTGGCCTGGAAGAGGGGCAACAGGGACAGAATCCGGCGCCCCGACCGGGACTAGAACCCGGTGTGCCGGCACCGCAAGGCGGAGGATTAGCCTAGTAAGCCGCAGCGCCAGCCATAATGCGTTATCTCAACTGGTGTTGATAACAACTTAAAATGGAGGTAGTTATTACCTCCATTACACAAAGAAACTGAACCCTGGGGGGAATATATACTCAGAATCTTTGTATCCCACTCCCGTGATGCCATCATCAAACCTTATTATAAAAGCAGGGTCAGCAAATTTTTTCCTTGAAGGGGCATGTGGTCAACACTTAGACTTAGTGGAACATGTAGTACCTTTCTCAACCGCTCAGCACTCACTGGAACGTAAAAGCAGTCATAGAAAATGTAGGCTGTCTGTGTCGCTATGAAGATTTATGTACACTGAAACTTGAACTTCATGTAATTCTTCTTTGGATCTTTTTTCAGCTATTTCACCATTCCAACCATTGCTTCATTTGCCAGTCCGCATTGTAAAGTACTGCAGCTGGACAGGGTGGCTGCTCCGAAGACCACGCCTCTAAAACAGTGGGGAACCCCTTTTTCTGCCAAGGGCCATTAGGATATTTATAACATCTTTCATGGGCCATACAAAATTATCAGCTGAAAAAAATTAGCCTGCTATAGGTTTATTGAATTTCCAGTCCCGCCTGCAGTTGCCTCAGCAGGGCCTGACCAGATGATTTCGAGGGCTTTTTAAGGCCAGTGGGCCAGATGTTCTCCACGGCTGCTCGTAAAGAGGTGGGGCTCCATCAGGGAGGACAGACAAGTCAACTGGACATCAGTCAACTGGAAAAGGAAGCCAGGAGTGCATAGGACAGACAAGTCAAGCATGGGGGCTTGGCGGGACTCGCGGAGCAAAGCCGTTTAAGTCCAGCCAGGGAGGAGGCAGCTTTTGATCTGGGTCTTGGGAAATGTGTGAGATTTCCAGAGGTGGGGAAGGAGACGGCAGGCATTCCTGAACCGAGAAGATGGAGCGCGAAGGTGCAGCCGTGGAAACGTGTGGGTGGGGGCTGGGGCTGGGGCTGGGAATGATTGAAGGGGTGAAGTGGGAGGGGAGGCTGGAAAGGTTGGTTTGCTGCATTTGAAATTTCAGTAATTAATATCTATGGCGTGGAACCTGAATGTTAGCATTTCTGGGCGCATTGTGAAAGAGCCCAGTGCCTGTTGGCCAAGGACGAATGTGGCCCAGTTCCTTCCCTACTCCGTAGCTGAGAGTTGGGGCAGACGGGGAAGCCCTGGAGTCAGGATCATGCTGGCTCAAGACAACTGCCTGTGTTTTAGAACAGACAGGAGTCAGCGGGCAGCTAGGAAAAGGAACCCCAGAACGGGCGTGTCGTGCCCACCAGGAAGTAGACTCTGAGAGTAATGACCCTGTCAGGGTTTTCCTGAGTGTCCAGCACCCAGTAGGCACTCAAGTCTTTGTCTAATAAAAGAATAAGTGATAGACATTTTGTGAGGAATGTCAGGATGAGAGAGAGAAAACTCCAAGAGGGCGCCCATGCTAAAATCCAAGAGCCATTGCAGAGCCACCGGAGAGCAGGTGTGTTCACCTTGGCACGAAGCAGCCCTGCCTACCCTGACTCTGGGTGGCTGTTGCTTTTGAACCAGCTGTCTAATAACTCATATGCGAATTTTTCCGGAGACAAGGTTAACTTCATTGGCCTGAGTTCCAAAAATTGACTGTTTCTCTTTTTTTTTTAACCTGTTTTTCTCCATCCTCCCATCGTGCTCAGCTTTCTGCTTTTTGTCTGCGATCTCTATAATTTTTCACAAGAGTAAATTTGTTTCTTTCCTTTATTCTAAAGCCATCCCTTCTTTGGTGAACCTTCTTCTAATGTAAGTTTAAAATCACTTTTACAAAGCAGGTGTTGTGGTGCAGCTGGTTAAGTCACAGCTTGGGATGCTGTCATCCGTATTGAAGTGCCAGTTTGAATCCTGGCCACTCCATTTCCAATCTGGCTTCCTGCTAAAGCTCAAGCACTTAGCCCTGTCACCCGTGTGGGAGACCCGTATGTAGCTTCCAGGCTCCTGGACTTAGCCTGGCCCAGCCCCGGCTTTTGAGGGCATTTGGGATGTGAACCAGTAGATTAAAGACCTCTCTCTCTCTCTCTCTCTCAAATAACTAAACTTTTTTTTTTTAAAAAAAGATTTATTTATTTGAGAGGCAGAGTTTCACAGAGAGAAGGAGAGGCAGAAAGAGAGAAGTCCTCCATCTGCTGGCTCACTCCCCAATTGGCCACAATGGCCGGAGCTGTGCTGATCCAAAGCCAGGAGCCAGGAGCTTCCTCCTGGTCTCCCATGTGGGTGCAGGGCCCAAGCACTTGGGCCATCCTCCACTGTCCTCCTGGGCCACAGCAGAGAGCTGGACTGGAAGAGGAGCAACCGGGACTAGAACCCGGCGCCATATGGGATGCCGGTGCCGCAGGCAGAGGATTAACCAAATGAGCCACGGTGCCAGCCCCCCCGAGCCTATTAATTTTAAGAATGATTTATGGAAGTCTGATTAGGCAAATTCTGTGAATTAGGTAGAAAAGGTGATTTTTTTTTAGGGGTTGGCATTCTAGTATAATGGGTTAAGCCTCTGCCTGCAATGCTGGCATCCTGTATGGGCGCCAGTTCGAGTGCCAGCTGCTCCACTTCCAACCTAGTTCCCTGTTAATGTGCCTGGGGAAAGCAGCAGAAGATGGCCCAAGTCCTTGGGCCTCTGCACCCAAATGGGAGACCTAGTTGAAGCTTCTGGTCTTCATCTGACCCAGCCCTGGCCATTGTAGCCATTTTTCTGCCTTTCAAATAAATAAATTCAGTATTTTTAAACAAGTGATTTTTAAAGTTCTATTCATTGGGGCTCAACAGGTTAAGCTGCTGCCCTTAATGCCGGCATCCCATATGGGCACAGATTCAAGTCCCGGCTGCTCCGCTTCTCATCCAGCTCCCTGCTAATGCACCTGGGAAAGCAGCAAAAGACAGCCTAAGTGCTTGGACCCCAGCACCCACGTGGGAGACCGAAGTGGAATTCCTGGCTCCTGGCCCTGGCTTGGCCCAGCCCTGGCTATTGTGGCCAACTGGGTAATCAACCGATGGATGGAAGAGCTCTCTCTCTGTCTCTCCCTCTCTCTCTCTCTCTGTAACTCTGCCTTT